CATGCTTATTTCTCTGCACACCTCTGGACCTTGCAAGCCCAAGAGAAAAGGTGTACATTAGAGACACAGAGAAATCATTTTGCTCTTTTTGATTGGGTATCACCAAATTCGTATTTGGTGATACCCAATCACCGTATTCACTCCCATAGAAACAGACAAAGCAGTGGAGAAAGGCATAAAACTATGAATGATTAAAAAAAAGCAACCAGCCCCTTAATTTACTTTAGAAACACGAATAAAGACACAGGAGAAAAGCAGCAGGCTGCAATAATGTCCCTCTTGGGAAGAAGAAAGAAGGAAATTGCTTCTGGTGTGAAAGTGTTGCTATTTTAGGCGACAGGCATATTCATGGGTAAATCTGTTATCCTTTCATGCTTCAACACAGATGAACCTCACAGGCACACAGCAAGCAAAAAGACAAAAGACCACATGTCGTGCAATACCATTTCAGTGTAAAGTCTAGAAGAGGCAAATCTATAGACAGAAAGGGAATTTGTGGATTCCAGGGGCTGGGGCTGGGACTCGGGGGTGGGGAGAAGAGGGAGTGAGTATTTATTTAACATCTGTAGTGATGAAAAGGTTCTAAAATTAGATCTTACGTGCCATAAACCTGTAAGTCTATTAAAAACTATTGAGTTGTACCCTTTAAGTGGGTGAATTAAATGGCACATAAACCACATCTCAAAAAAAGTTGCTTTTGGCTGGAGAGATGACTCAGAGGTTAAGAGGTTGCTTTTGCAGGAACCCACACTCTATTCTTAGCACCTATGTCTGGTGGCTCATAGCTGCCTGGAACTCCAGCTCCAGGTGATCCGATGCCTCTGGCCTCCACAGGCATCTGCAGATGCACGTACTGCTCCCCATACACATAATTAAAAATAAATCTTTAAAAAACTTGCTTTTTACAAAGATCTGCAATGCCTGATGGCTGTTACACCTGCAAAAGGGACAGTTACCTGTAAAATGGAGCTAGATAGCTCCCTCTGCCTTTGTACAATAAATATAACCAAAGAATGGACTAACACATTTTAATAGGATGGATATTTTAATAATCATGAAGAGCATAGGGTCCACAATGCACAGTAGAAGATAAATCGGACCCCAACTTAGTTCTATGACATCAGTGGTTGTCTTAATGTGATCACATGTGTGTTCCCAAAAGAATCTTCTTCCAGTGCAGAAACGAAGCCCGTCCACTGATCTTATTTCACAATAATAAGAAGCTGCTGTCACCAAAGAATAGAAACAGCAAAGAATAAATGAGCCAAATAACCTTTGTGCTTGGGTTCCCACTGTCCAATGGAACATGTCTTTCCCATGTGTGTTGGCTTATGTCTCCATCTGGACTATAAACTGAGTAAGTGCAGTCATTGTGTCCTGTATTTTCCCTGTTTCCCACAATATCCATGTTGGCTCTGGGTAGAGTGCACAGAAGGCCACCAGGTCACACTGTCCATTTGGGGTTGTCTTATTTTCTTCTAAGTGGGGTAAGGGGTGGAAGGCCTGGGTTAGGTGGGCAAGAAAATGTATACTTCCCAACATTCCCCACTCAACCCTTCTACTTGGACAGATGCTATCTATGGTCTTTGTGGACATATCTGGAGCTCCTCAGCCATGCACCAGGATTAGTAAATTGTAGAACAGGACAAAGTCCTGTCCTTTTCTGCTTTCAACAGTTTGCCTTTTGTTACTGATCATGAGAGGGTGAGTCTACTTTAAAGATGCATTAGGGACTAAAGAAATGGCTCCTGGTTAAGAGCATTTGCTGTGCAGCTATGAGGACTGCAGTTTGGATCCTTGTACCTATGTAAAAAGCTGGGCCTGCAACACTAGTGCTGTGGGGATAAATCACTGGGACACACACACACACACACACACACACACACACACACAAACACAAACACACAGGAGGATCAACTCACTGGGACTCACACATAAACACACAGGAGGATCAGCTCACTGGGACTCTCTCTCTCTCTCTCTCTCTCTCTCTCTCTCTCTCTCTCTCTCTCTCTCTCACACACACACACACACACACACACACACACACAGGAGGATCAGCTCACTGGGATTCACACATACACAGGAGGATCCGATCACTGGGACACACACACACACACACACACACACACACACACACACACACACACACACACACACATACACACACACACACACGTAGACATTTAGAAGACTTCTACCCATGGGGCAGTGTACTGATTTGAATGAGAATGGCCCCCACAGGCTTATATATTTGAATACTTGGTTCCCAGTTGATGGAACTGTTTGGGAAGGTTTAGGAGGCTCTTCTATAAGTTGCGTTGGTCATGGTGCATTAACACAGCAATAGAAAAGTAACTTAGACAGGCAGGGAGGGCCAATGAGCAGCGTTGTCAGAGAAGGGGACCTATTCTGATTCTGAGTGCCAAGTTCTGTTTACCCTGTTACAGATATTCAGACATGGGTTTGTGTTATACCTGTGGAGGCCAGAGGACAATTGTGGATGTCATTCCTCAGGGGCCATCTTTTACTTTCCACCCCATTTTTTGAAACAGGGACTCTCCAGGGTTGCCTGGAGCTCCCCCAGTAGGCTAGGCTGGCAGGCCAGCAAGGCTCAAGCATTGAGATTAGAAGCATGTATTACTATGTTTGGCTTTTTTTTTACTTATTTATTTTTCATTTTATGTGTATTAGTGTTTTACCTGCATACAAATGCATCATGCCTGGTGACGGATGAGGTTAGAAGAGGCTGTCTGGGCCCCTGGAACTGGAGTTATAAGGCACTGGGAACTAAGCTTAGGTCCTCTCCAACAAGTGCTCTTAACTGCTAAGCCATCTTTTTAGTTCCCATGCCTGGATTTTTTTTAACAAGGGTTCTGGGGATCGAACCCTTGGTGCATGAGCTGTAAGCACTTCACAGACTAAGCTGCTCTCCAACCCCAGACAAAAGGCTCTTGAAAGAACAAAGTAGTGAACAAATGAATCTCAACGCCAGCTTGTCTGTAAGAGAAATTAAGTGTGAGCACTGGGAATTCCTGTCTGAGAAACAGGGGTGTCTGGATCAAAGACTTTGCTTAGAGCTTTTTTGTGTGAGAAAAGTACAAGGAACAAAAGAGAAGCAACAAAAACAGAAAATATCAAAAATCCTGGGAAAGTTCATGGGAAAAATGGGCTATATATCTCAGGGATAGAGCCATTGTTTAGCATGCCTGGGGCTCCGGGCTCCATCTCCATGCCCAACCAAATAAATAAATGAATGAATAAATAAGTGAATGAATGAATGAATGAATGAATGAATAAATAAATAAATAAATAAATAAATAAAAGGCACAAATTTCTGACTCTTAATTGCAAAGGGCAAGGATGGAATTCTGACAACTGGTTGCATGAACCCTCCTTAAAAAACATCTTAGAAATTGGGTGTGGTGGCTCACGCCTGTAATCTTAGCACTCCGGAGGTAGAAGCAGGCTGATTGCTATGAAGTCACACCCAGCCTCGACTACATAGTGAGTTGAAGGCTAGCTTGGGCTTCTGTATGGGACCCTGCCCCCAAATAACAACAACAAAAATTAAAGAAAAAAAGCCCTATATTTTAGGGTTTGTAGTATGACCTTGGGATTTTATTTTCATAAGTCTTTCCAAACACTAGAAATACAACTAGATAATGAAAGTCACAAGATTGATAGTTCATGAAAATGGGTACTTTAATATAATATATATATTATATTTGTGTATTTATATTTGGAGAAAACAGAGGAGAATGGTATAAGCCAGGAATTCTGACCCTTATGTGTATTCATCTTGTCTGACTGACAAGTCATTTGCAGGGGAGTGAGGCCTTCTCTTCCCTCTAACACTCATAAACACACAATGTCCACAAAAAGTAATTCAACCAACTTCCTTCCTTGCTTCCTCCCTCCCTCCCTCCCTCCCTCCCTCCCTCCCTCGCTCCCTCGCTCCCAGACAGGACCTTCCTATATAGTCTAGACTCCCTCCCTGTTTTGAGACAGGGTCTCGGTTGCCCAGGCTGGCCTCAAACTTAAGTAGCTTCCTGCTTTAGTTCGCCCAGTACTAGGATTGCAAGTATGTGTAGCTACCCCAGGAAAAGGATGAAATAGGGCTTTTGTTTGATTGCTTTATAGTACTTCTGGGGATTGAACCCAGGGACTCATGAAGACTGGGCAGGACTGTACCACTGAGTTCCATCCCCAGCCCTTCAACCAATTTTTAGTATTTGAAAGTATGAACTTTAAAAAGAATTCTGGATTGATGGGTGCTTGAGAGTTGAGAGAGGCATGAAAGAGTATTCTTTCTAAGATTGAGAGAGAATTTAAAGTTTATTTGATTGACATGGCTTTAATCTGTTCTTATTTAAGTATATCATGGCTGCCGGGGCCACATTTAGAAATTTAAAAGTGACAGAGTATATTGAGTATTTAGGCTTTATTGACTCTCTTTGGATTATTTTATTAGACTTCTATTAGACTCCAGTGGTACTTGGCCTTATGCTAATCCATATTTAAACTAGGGTGACCCTTTGTCCTGATTTGCCAGGGACAGTCCTCGTTTACCCTTGCCCCAGCAGAGCTATTAATAGCTTCATCCTTAACCCTCAGTAATAGTCAGGTTTAGAATATTAAATTCTACAATTGCTCTAACTTTGCCTCCTAAACTTTCCAAGAATACACGATTTCTCATTAATTGTCCCAATTTATACTTGTTTTATATATACAGATTTTGAGGCCTTTCTTTCTTTCTGTTGGATTATAAACATCATTTGAACTTTAGAAGGCTCCTCATGGAACCAGGAAGCCAGTAGCAAGACAGTGACAAACATAGCCACACAAAAATGACTTTTAAAATTAATAACCTGTTAACTAATTACATGTTGTTATCCAATAATTTTTATTATTCAGTTTGTATTTCTATTTTTCACCTACTTTCTATTAAATCACATTATTAAATATTTAATAAATGTCAATGACAGAATAGCACATACCTTCATAGCCAAAGAGAAGTAATAAGAAGAAGCCTTCAATCTTGCGTTGCATTTTCTCCTTGTCCTTGGCCACAGCTCTGCCTAACTGAAGTGGGGAGCTGGCCTAGGAGCAGGCGATTAACTTGAGCCACTGGCCCCACTAAGCATCTTATTCCACTCAGCCCCCCTCTAGTTAACCCGCATAGTTCCCTGCCTCAACAGGAAGTCTCAGAAGATACTGTTGGCCTGAAGGTTGGTTTAGCAAGAAGAGACTGGTGTTAGTCCCTTTAAATGTAAAACGAGTAATGGAAGGAAATGGAAACTATAGTCAGACGTGGGTCCCTAATTCTTTCTCCGACATCATTTTCTAAGGAGTGACCTTGAACAGTTTCACAGACTCTATTTGCAGGGAAGTGTCATAGTATTTTCTCCCAGGAGAACACGGTGCTATGTTGACACCCGCTCACTCAGGAAAACACTGATTTTGGTGGTGGCGGCTCAGTTCTACATAAGGATGTGCAGTGTTGAGATACTTATGAGAATGACAACCTGGAAATAATCAGAACGTCCAAGGTTAGGAAGCTGGCTAAGTGCACAGATTCCCAAGTTGAGCTGTGAGGAAATCCCATAGCAGCCACTTGTAATGGTGTGACCTCGAGGCAAATTTTCTGTCTGTAAAATGACGATGATAATAGCTACTTAACAGATTTCTGTTGAGGTTGAAATGGGATGATGCCACAAAACACGTAGTAAGGCTGTAGGTGTATCTTAGTTTAGGATGGAGAGCCTTGTTTGGAAGGAACATGGGGGACGGGCATGCATTTGATTCTCAGCATGACAAAACAAGACAAAGTACTTAGGTCAATGTCTGGCTTACTCAGCTACCATTATTATAGGCCATTAAAAATAAAGTTGATGGGAGGAACAAGGTGAATGGATGTAGAGATTCAGTTTCGCAAGAAAAATTTCTGGAAATCAGTTCACAGCAACTTGAATACTTAACAGTAACTAACTGTGCATTTTAATGGTTGAGGTTTTAAAAAGAGTAAATTGACTGTTAACCAGAAAATAACATTACCTTTTTTTTGAGTTAGAAAAAGATGTAAATTCATATACTGTATGATCAAAACTGGGGGTAGGAGAAGCCAAGAAAAAACAAAAACAAACAAACAACTGAAAGTTTCTCTTTTCCCGTTTAGTTCTCTGCTACCATCATCTCACCCTTGACCCCCAGGACCCCCAGGACCCCAGAAACCTTTCACTCATACTTCACCCCCTCGAAAGAAGTTCTCCCTGCAACAGAACTGTAATAATGGGAGCAAAGACGAACTGGAGAAATATTTCATCATCAATCAACACATGGGTGGGAGTGAGAGTAATCAGGATGCATTATATACATGCATGAAATTGTCAGAAACTACATTTAATTAATAAACTTAAAAGCATGACACTTATTCTCAACTGTATATGAATTCTTATTTAAAAAGAGGAATATTCATTCCACTAACCCTCCAGCTACACTGTTCTTGCTCTGTATTTTAGAGCTGAATAAGATATTAAAGAGTTTAATAAGATATTAAATACTTAATCATAATCAACCTTTAAAAACGTCAGCTGCAATCAAAGCGTGGCTCTGTTGACATATTTTCGTGGGAAGTTTTGGCGGTCAACTTATTCTCGCTCAGGAAGAAAGGCTGCTGCGGGGCGCTCCTGGTGAAGTATCCCGGAGCACCTCCGAGGTGAGATAAACAGCAGCTGACTCCAACCCGCCCTGCCTCCACTCTGGGTTACTCCTCGGATCTGGCGACAGAGGCTGCGACATAAAGCTGTTAGGAATAATATAGGTAGATGAAAGAGAAAAATGGTCTCCGGTTTTCGATTTTATGCAGGCTACTTATGAAAAACATTTAAGTCGCTACTGTGGTTCCACTGGGGCTCGAACCCAGGACCTTCTGCGTGTAAAGCAGACGTGATAACCGCTACACTATGGAACCCACATGCCCACTTCTTTGATTACAAGCCTTTTCAGAGGGTGCAGCCACACGCAGAGGCGCCACAGGAAACCCTGCCCTCTTGCCGTAGCCCCGCCCCTCCTCAGAGGCGCGAAGTTCAAAGCCAGATTTTGACCCTTAGGCTCAGGCATTCTAGCAGATAGCCCACCTTGTGGCCCCAGCGTCGCGGCCACCTGAAACCTGGGTCCCTCTAACTTCCTGACTCCAAACTTTCCCTCCGCAGTGGCGAGGCCCTCCGAAGGGTGGGGTTTTACCTATCCTCAGCTGTGTCTTCCTTTCCCACTTAGAGCGACCGGATTGAAGTCATCAAAAAGTCCGCCGCAGGAGGCAGCGTCTAGGCTCTTAGCTCTGGGCATGAGGCCAGAACGCAGCTGCCCAAGCTGAAGAATCAGGCACTGCAGAGTGTGGTTGGGCTCATGTTTATGATGGCATCTGACTTGCCAGGATTGGAAACGGTCCAAGGCTGCAGCCCCCTTACCTTTCCCAACATTATTCCCTTCCTGAAGTCACCAAGGGGATCAAATTCTCAGGGCTTTCCTCCGGTCCCGCTTGTCTAGGGCTAGAAGCAGTGGTTGTATGCAGGCCAACTCTTTGTGGTTGTCACAGAGGAAAAGAGCACCAGCCACATCACATAACTTGAGAGGCCTGGTGCAAAATGAAAATGATTGTTTCGTGATTGTTAGGTTATGAAGAATTCGAATGGGGACCACACAGCCTTACACCCAGCGCTCTGACCCTGCTTCAAGGAATCTAAGATCTTGGGACTCCCCATCCCCATCTCAGGTGGGTTGTTTGCTTATTTGTGCATTTTGCCTTCTTTAGGGCTTCTGAGTGGATCTTCATCACCATCCTAGGATTGCTCACCACCCTCAAACTTGAAAACCTACTAAAAACCATTTGAAGATGTTTTTAGCCATCCTGGTGGACATGACCTGTGGAGTGGCAGTAGTTCTTTCTCTCGACATCTTCCTCTGAGGCTGGCAGGATAATGGAGATAGGATACTGATTATAAACAACACCCTTGTTTTTCTGATAACAATGAGGGGGGGAAAGGGGGCAGGGTGGGAATGAGGGTGGACCGAACATAAATGTGGAGATGAGTGGAGTTTTAGTCCCCTTGTTGCTATTCACCAGCTGTACACAGAAAATGGTCAGTTCAACATGCTAATTCTCATCTCCTTTATGAAATACAAGGGTTGGACTAGACATCTCTACTTTCACAGTGAATCTAAATATCAGCTTTATTTTCCAGACAGAAAAATGAAGACAGTCATTTTTTTCTTCACAGACCGAGTTAAAGGCAAGCTTACGGTTAGTGATATTATCTGAGTTTGTTGTTTTTTTAAGGCTGGATCTCATGTAGTGCAGATTGCCCTCAAACTGGCTGTGTAGCCAAGGATGATTTCCAATCCTCCTGCCTCTACCTCCCGGGGTCTATGGTTACAGGCCCATGCCACCATGGCCAGTTTTATGAGGTCCTTAGGTATACTAGGCAAGCACTGTACCAACTGAGCTATGTCCTCCACTCCAGCCGGCCTTTTCTTTGACACATTTTTGTGAGGCCTTTTGAGTACTTGATGCCTAGTTGTTAGCTATGAAATAGTCTTGAGTGGCCAGCCATCAGCTGAAGAATGAGTTTAGAAAAGCCGTTCTTCCTACTCCTCGGTGACTATGACCCACCTATTTCCAAACCCTCTATTAATTCAAAATAAGATGGCCAAGGATTGGCCCTAAAATTATACCTACCAGTTGTGTTTTAGTTGAATCTCTAGGGAATGCTTTGCTTTGGCCCCAGATTTCCAACTCTGCCCTTGTCTATAAGGGTCATTTGCCAGGTGCAAGTTTTAGCCACGTCCCTATACTTATACTTTGTGGACAAATGAAGCCGGAGCTCCACTAATGCATGCAACAGAGATTTGTGCCTTTGCAGGAATTGTTTTCTCTTCCTTTTCTCCATTCTAACTGGAAGGGAAGACCCTCCCTGTCCCTCTCAAAGTGTGGTCACAATGACTATTGTCAGCCAAGTACAAGATAGCTTACAAAGGACTCTCACATTTTTCTTGGGTGATAGCCCTGTGAGGTAGCCATGCATTACTATCTCCATTTTTAAGTTGGAGGAATTGAAGCAGAGGAATTGAAGTGCCTTGTCCACGACCTTGCAGCTGATGAGTGGTAGGGCTGGGTTGGTACTCACACTGCTGATTGATGCTTAAGAGGCTGTGTAAGGATCAAGTCCATAAAGGCTACGTGTTCTCCTAAGAGTGGTTTGATCTCTTGTGTATTTTCTCTGTGTGGAAGTAGGGAAGTGGAGATGCATATTTTATTCTTTTGCAATTTTTAAACGAGATTCTCAGAAGTAGGAACTATGAGCATTCTAAAACAATTGCTTGTGACTTTTAACTTGGTGAGGTCACCAATGGTGATAGTTTTGCCTGGAGTTTCAGTTTTGTAAGTTAAATGTGTGAGACCTGACACCCCCATGTGTACTTACAAGTATCTGAACAAATATAGGAAAAAATATGTAAATAAATTAATAATGAAGACTAGAAGTTACCTCAGAGGTTTGTTTGAAGTTCCCTGATTCCGCAATGGTTTGTGTTACTTCCGTAGTGTTTGGCTTTATTGATGGAAAGCAATTTCATTTAAGAAACCCTAGCCCCAGTTAGGAAGCCTAGTTTATCCAATTGCCTTTGCAGACTGTCTCACTCCGTCCTTAATGAGAACTGAGAATTTAGTCGGGAAAGCAAATCACTGCTACAGCATAACAGAGCTTACCTTATTTCTTCTAGCTCACCATGTTCAAAACACCTTGAAACTACCTTCTGTAACACACTTTTGTTGCTTTTGAGTCTCGTTTATCCACAGTCCCTTATATCTGTCTTCTTACTCAGCTCAGGTTCTCTGGCCATTTTTATCACTTCTTGTCTGCTTCATTGCTTCCAAATATATATGCATGTATACACACACACACACACACACACACACACACACACACACACACACACACACGTTTTCATTTTATTAGTGTTTTGAAACTGGGTCTCTCTATGTAAATATGGCTAGCCTGAAACTTGCTGTGTAGACCAGGCTGGGCTCAAACTCAGAGACCACCTGACTCTGCCTACTGAGTGGTTGGATTAAAGTCATGTGCCACAATGCCTGGCTGTTTTTTTATTTTTTGAGACAGGGTCTTGCTGTAAAGCTATGGTTGGCCTGGAACTTGACATGAAGACCAGATGGCCTTGAACTTGCATTGATACACCTGCCTCTGCCTCCAGCATGTTGAGATTACAGGTGTGTACACTGGGCTGCTTCCTTAAACTGTTGACAAAAGTAGAATCTCTTCAATTCAACTTGATACACTGCCTCTGGTCCAAGAAAAACATAACCCCAGGCTGAGTAGTTTTATATTAAACTCATTATTACATACCTCAAGTGAGCCCTGTAGTCCAGCATGGTGGCTATTTTTGGCATTTGTTCTTTACCTCCCTATGGTGATTTGAATGAGAACAGCCCCCATAGGCTCATATGTTTGAATTCTTGGGCTCCAGTTAGTGGACCTGTTTGAGGAGGATTAGGAGGTGTGGCCTTGTTGGAGGAGGTGTGTCACTGAGTGTGGGGTTTGAGGTTTCAAAAGCCCATACCAGGACTAGTCTGTCTGTCTGTCCTGTCTGTCTCTCTCTGTCTCTGTCTCTCTCTGTCTCTCTCTCTCTCTGCCTGCTGCCTGTGGATCAGGATGTAAAGCTCTCAGCTACTGCTCCAGTGCCATGCCTGTCTGTTCCCCACCATGATGATCATGAACTAACCCTCTAAAATTGTAAACAAGTCCCCAGTCAAATGCTTTCTTTTATAAGAGTTGCCTTGATCATGGTGTCTCTTCGCAGCAATA